GAATTCAATTTTGAAATCAAAGACAAGAAAGGCACTGAAAATGTGGTTGCCGATCATCTCTCTAGGTTATCGATAGAACCTTTCCCTAGTCCACCAATTCATAATTCTTTTTCGGATGAACAACTTTTCAAGTTTCCAATGGACAAATGCCTTGGTTTGCCGACATTGTGAATTATTTGGCAATTGGCAAACTCCCAACTTCTTGGTCAAAGAACGAAAAGAATCGTTTCTTTGCCAACATTCGGAATTACTATTGGGAAGATCCTGTCTTGTACCATTATTGTCCGGATCAAATTGTGAGAAGATGCATTCCAGAGAGCGAAATTCCAAGTGTCCTTGTATTTTGTCATACACTTGCATGTGGTGGGCATTTTAGCGCAAAAAAGGCCGCATTGAAGGTTCTTCAAAGTGGGCTCTTTTGGCCCACTATCCATAGAGATGCCTACAATTTTTGCAAGTCATGTGAGAGATGTCAAAAGATGGGATCCATGTCAAGAAAAGATATGATGCCCTTGACCAATATATTTGTTGTTGAAATCTTTGACATTTGGGGCATCGATTTTATGGGTCCATTTCCTATGTCCTATGGTTTTTAATATATTCTCCTTGCCATTGATTATGTTTCCAACTGGGTAGAAGCATGTGCTGCCAAAACAAATGACCATTCCGTGGTTTTTCAATTCATCAAATCCAATATCTTTGCTCATTTTGGTATGCCTAGGGCTATGATAAGTGACGGAGGAAAGCATTTTTGTAATCAATTCCTAAGGCATTTATTTCTTAAGTACTCCGTTACTCATAAAGTGGCCACTCCTTACCATCCTCAAACAAGTGGGCAAGTTGAAGTGTCTAACGGGGAAATTAAGCATATTCTTGAGAAAACGGTTAACACCACCCAGAAAGATTGGTCACGAAAGTTAAATGATGCTTTGTGGGATTATAGGACGGCATATAAGACTCCCATTGGCATGTCTCCTTATAGACTTGTATATAGAAAGCCTTGCCATCTTCGGTTGAGTTGGAACATAAAGCCTTGTGGGTGGTTAAAAGGCTCAATCTTGACCTTGATAAGGCCAGAGAGAACCGGTTGTTACAATTGAGTGAGTTGGAGGAGTTGAGACATAATGCTTATGATAATACCAAACTCTATAAAGAAAGAACTAAAGCTTTTCATGATAAACATATTGTGAAAAAGTCTTTTGAATCCGGTCAAAAAGTTTGGCTCTTCAACTCTAGACTGAAACTCTTTCCGAGGAAGTTGAGAACCAAATGGGAAGGTCCTTATGAAGTCAAGGTTAATGAGCGGTTGAAATCCAAATTTTGAAAAAGGGGAACATTTTCAAGGTTAATGGACAAAGATTAAAACCCTACATTGAGGGACAAGGTCTTCCAAAGACACTTGGAAGCTGCACATCTAATCGACCCTGTGTATGAAGACATCTAGGGATGCAATGTAAATGAAAGAGTTTTTGCCTATTTGATCGATCTCTATGGAAGTTCGATCGATCGAACATCATGCCTGCATCAAACCTACATCCAAATCCCTTTCTGTCCAATCGTTCGAAGAGAACCTGCATATATCATCTCTCTGTCCCATCGATCGAATTTGTTCTCAGATCGATCAGAAGTCCTTAGATCGATCCAAACTTCAAGTTCGATCGATCTTCAGTTCCAACACTTACACAAATTTTGAGCTTGCAAAAACCTGCATATTTCAGCTCTCTGTCCCATCGATTGAATATATTCATAGATCGATCTAAACTTCTTTGATTGATTCAACTTTATCTTAGATCGATCTGTAGTTTTAACACTTAGAAAAAGTTTGAACCTGCATCTACCTGCATCCAAAGGCCTCTCTGTCTCATCGTTCGAACATATCTGCAGGTTCATGCATGTTCGATCAATCGAAAATCTTTTGAGATCGATCCGACCTTGATCGATCTAAGCATCTTTGGTTTGACCTTTTTCTTCCCTCTTTGGATTTCAGGCTTATCTTTTCAAAGTAGCATTATGTCCAGCTAGAGACGTTAAACTTAGCAATCATTGTTCATACTTTCTTGATTTTCATCTTGTTTATTCAAAAAAAAAAAAAAAAAATTCCTAATTGTCTTATTCATGCATGTTATTTTTCTTACATTATTTCATTAAATGAGAAATATAAAAACTTTTCACTATTGTGCCCTTATGTGTACTCATACATACTTTATGATTTATATTGGGCTTGATCTCATATCTCTCTTGCATCTTGTGTTATATTACCTTAGATTGCATGCCTTGGTTATTCTTATCCCATTTGATATTTGATATGAGTTTGCTAGTGTGGTTAGTTGTTGGTTCCAAGTTTGGGGGAAACGTCTTTCGAATTGGATCATTGCCGGGCTTCATGTCTTTGCCACCACAGTATACTCTTTCCATCTTTTCTATTGTTCTCATTGCACATTGAGGACAATGTGCGATAAGTTTGGGGGTAGGGGTAAGGTGACTTTGTTGCATTCTACTAGTTTGAGACTTAGTTGCATGATTGAGATTTGGGATCCATGTTAGCGATGATTTTGATCTTTTGAGGACTATATTGCTTAAAAGTTAAAAATTGCTTGACTTGAGAGTCCAATACTCTTTGTATGCCTTGTGGATGCCATTTAGGAGTTATTTTTTTTGAAAAATTGATATCTTGCTTGCACTTGTGGTCCACATCATCCTGATTTTGCGATTGTTTTGAAATTCACTCTAGGATTCTATACTAGTACAGGTGCACACTAGCATTCATTTGTGGGGTACATGCTTTGTTGATTATTGAATTGGTTATATCCCAATTGGGCTAGTAGTGCATTGAAAGCTTTCATTCTTGATAAAGATTGATAACAACCCCTTTTCACTAAGTAGCCAGGATTCTAGCCTCATCAAGCACTGAACTTCTTGAGCTGAAAGGTGGAGGGCCCAAACTCTAGGTTAGTAATTGAACTTGCTTACAAAAAAAAATTGTTAATGCATTATTTATAGCGTTTTACTTTTTTGCCCTTTTTCTCTCTGGAATAGGCGATACGTGATCTAGGGTTTCCTAGGGTTGTTGAGGAAGAAAATGCTATGGATGAGGGTCAACCTTCCTCTATTATGGGTAGCGTCCCACCTTTGGTTGAGTCCTCCACTAATCGGCCCTCTTGAAGTTCTTTACTGATGAACTCTCCATTAGAAAGTTTTACACCTTCGAGATATTATAGTGACAGTCGAAATAAAGAAGTCATTGATATTGATGATGAAGATATTGCGGAGGAATTGAAATATTGGGAGAATTATATTGTGTGTTATGTTCTGGGAAGTAAACTGTATTTCCCATATTTTAAAACCTTTGTGCAGAAGCGTTGGAATAAAGATGTTGTGGTGGTATCCATGAAGGATGGTTTCTTCCAGGTGCGATTTCCTTCAGAGGAGGATTTGATCCAGGTGTTATCGAGATTTCATACATTTCAAGGTCATGCAATTATTGTTAAAAAATGGCATAAGACTATTCATCTAGAACGGGATACACTTTCAACGGTACCAGTATAGATGAGGGTTTATGATCTTCCGGTGCATGCAAGAAGTGGGATATCAGTGTCGAAAGTTGTTTCAAATATTGCGAAGCCTCTTTATATGGATGCTATCACTCTCAGTCGTGAAAGAGGATTGTATGTCAGGGTATTAACAGAAATGGAGGTGGATGGTGCCTTCCCTGAAACCATTCAAACTCGTTTACATGGGATGCAATTTAAATTACAAATTGAGTATGAATGGAAACCTCAAGTCTGTAGTTTGTGCAAAAAAATTGAACACTCCGAGAATACGTGTCCATTGAACAAACCCCAAGCCAAAAAACTAAAGGAACAGTGGGTGGTTAAGAGATCAGATAAAGGTAAGGAGGTGAATGTGGAGCAAAGTCTAATTATAAGTGAGAAGTCCTAGGAGGAGTTGGAAGAGGGTTACACAATTCAGAGGAAATCTGGGGGAAAGAGAGTTGTATCTCTAGTATCGCAACACCCGGTTACCGTTACGAATGCATTCCGGGTGCTCAAAGAAGTTTGTGACAGAGATGGGTCTGAGGTTCAGAGGGAAGTTGTAGGGATTCCAGAGAAATTGGTGCCTGGATTAGATATATCCAAGGTTGCGATAGATACAGATGATTTGAAAGAAAATGTTAAAGCTGGTGGTGAAAAGAAAGTACAAAAAGCGTCTGTCAATAAAATCCAGGTAGTCCATTTGGATGATACAAGGGGGGAAAATTCAACTAATAGGTCACCTCCTAGATCTCTTGAAGGGAGTGTATCATCAAAGAATCAGAAGAAAAAGGAATATGAGATGGATACAAGTGGTAGAATCACTAGAGCAATGGTTGTTGGTGGGGTTTGCCGACTAAATCCTACTGTTTTATGATTGGCTTATGGAATGTTAGAGGGCTCAACAGGAAAGCTATGCAAGAAGAAGTTAAAGCTTGGTTGAGTAGTTCCTCTTTATTTTTATGTGGTTTGGTTGAAACGAGAGTTCAATGCAATAAGTTTCAGAGGTTAGCAAATAGAATCAGAAGGACTTGGAATTGGGTGAATAATTACAATGCTGACCCAAAGGGTCGTATTTGGTGTGGTTGGGATCCAAATAGATTGAATGTTACTATGATTGAGTCTACAGCTCAGATGGTGCTATTACTTATTGAGGTCAGAGGGACTAATCAAAGGATCTTTGTAACCTTTGTTTATGCTAAAAATACAGCAAGGGAGAGAATAGTGTTATGGAAGGATTTGGTGGATAGTACGCAATATATAAATGGTCCATGGTTGTTAATAGGATATTGGAATATAGTGAGATACAATTCAGAGAAATTGGGTGGTAGATGTTATCATTTTGCTGATTTTAATCAAACCATTGATTCTCTTTGGCTAACTGATATTCCTGTGTCAAATGGGATATATACCTGGTGTAATAAGTGATTTCTAACTAGAAGAATTTATGCAAGATTAGATAGAGGGTTGATGAATGAAGCATGGGAGCAGGCCTATCCTAATTCTCAAATTGTTTTGACTACTCCTATATCATCTGATCATTGGGGTTTGTATGTAAATTTTCCAATGAAGGTTGCAGATGGTCCTAAGCCATTTAGATTTCTGGCAGTATGGAATAAGGAAAATGCAGTAAAGAATCTTATTGTTGAAGTATGGAGTATGAGAGCTAGTGGGAATCCAATTAAGAAGATGTTGTTCAAGTTGAAAATGGTTAAACATGCTGTAAAACAGTGGAATAAAGATAAGTTTGGGTTAGTGTATGAATAGGTCATTGCTTGTAGGAAGACTCTTGTTGATACTCAACTAATTCTGAATGATGATCTTTTCAATGAGGAGATTATTAAGCAAGAAAAGGAAGGGAAGATGAATCAAGAGGCTGCTATATCAAAGGAGACCTTATTACTGAATCAGAAATCTAGAATTCGATGGGTAAAAGACCAAGATCGATGCTCCAAGTATTTTTTCCAAAAAATTAAATAGCATAGAGACGGTAGTATAATAACAGTAATTCATGAAGAAGGTGCTATTATTACTAATACTAATAGGATTCAAAAGAGATTTGTTGAATACTTTAAGTCTGCTTATGCTAATTCTCAGCCTGCAACATGTTCTCCAGAGGCAAAATATATTAGACACAGGCTGAATCCAGAGGAGATGGAGAGGTTAGAGGCGGTTATATCTAGGGAGGAAGTTAAAACCACAGTCTTTGCGATGGGTCCTGATAGAGCTCCTGGTCCTGATGGATTTTCTTCAAGATTTTTTCAACAGTACTGGAGCATTGTTGGAGAGGAGTTTATTAATGCAGTTTTGCATTTTTTCAATCATCCAAAGATGGGAAGAGGTATTAACAGCACTTTTATTTCCTTAATTAAGAAGAAAGTGGATGCTTTTCAGGTCAGTGATTTCAGGCCTATTTCCTTGTGTAATACCTTTTATAAGGTCATTGCAAAAATCCTTTCTAATAGATTGGCAAAGGTTTAGGGGAGAATTATTGGAAGAGAACAAACAGCTTTTATTCAAGATCGGAAAATTTAAGATAATATCATTATGGCTCATGAATTGATGAGAGGCTTTGGTGCAAAAAATGCAAAACCTATGTTGGCTTGGAAGATTGATCTTAAGAAGGCTTATGATACGGTCCAATGAGGTTTTTTTATTGCAACTACTGCATTTGTATAGGTTTGGTTCTCAATGGATTGAATGGATTAAGGTATGCTTATCTTCAGTATGGTTTTCTATCATTGTGAATGGATCTCCTTGTGGATATTTTCAACCTGAGAGGGGTTTAAGACAAGGCTGCCCATTATCTCCACTTCTTCTTACGTTTGTTACTGAGTATTTTTCTGGGTTAATAGAATCTGCAGTTCATGTGGTATGGTTGTTCTTACTGACGCTGCTATTAAATCTGGACTACCTATTTCTCATCAGTTTTTGCTGATGATTTGTTGATTGCAGTGGGAGCCAATATGGCTTCAATGCTTAATTTGAAAAAATTATTGGCTCAATTTGAAAGTTCTTTAGGTCTTGCAGTTAGCAAGGAGAAATCTGAGGTCTTTCTTACTAATTCAGTAAAGAGGAGGGCTGGTATCATAAGAACTCTTGGTTGTAAGGTTGGTAAACTTCCATTTACTTACCTTGGGCTTCCTATTTCTGATAAGATGGTTCAAAGTAGGGACTATAATAAATTGGTTGAGAAGGTTATTTCTCTTACAACTAGATGGAATGGTCTTCATCTCTCAATGGCTGGTAGAATGGAATTGTGCCGAGCTGTAATTCTTCCATTGGTGCAGTATTGGACATCGGTCTACTCTCTTCCTACTGTGATTATTAATGTGATAGAAAAGAGAATGAGAAACTATATCTGGGGGTATGTGGAAGATAGGAAGAAGATACATGGTTTGAGTTGGAATAAGCTTGCAGTTCCAAAACAGGAAGGTGGGCTGGGGTTGTGTAGATTGCGAGATATTGATAGGGCTGCTAAATGTAGTCTTACATGGGATTTCTTGCTGTCAAAAGACAAACTTTGGGTGGCTTGGTATAAGAGATATTATTTGAGACAGTCCTCTTTTTGGAATGTTACTCCTAAGGTGTCTTCTTCTTCAATCTGGAAGAGTATGGTGGCTATTAAAGACATTATAAAACAGAATTGTCGATATAGAATAAGAAATGGACATAAGATTAAAGTATTTCTGGATCCATGGTGTGAGGGAAAATGTCTTGGGGACTTGTTTAATCGCAGATTGCTGGGTTCTCTTAACAGGAATAAGCAGAGTGTTTTGAGTGATTTAATTGTTGATGGTCAAGACGATGAAGAGCAGCTGAATAATACCTCACAAAAACTACAACAAGTATTCCATAATCAAAGGATTTTTGGGGGAGAAGACCAATTAACATGAAAGTCCAATTTTTGCTTCAAAGCAGCTTGGGAGGCTTGTAGAAGATCCAGACCAGAAGTTATTTGGTATGATTTATGCTGGAGTGAGGGGAGGCCGAGGTGGTCTACACATTCTGTTTTGGTTTTACAGGAAGCTATTATGACTCATTCTTTTTTGCATTAGAAAGGTTTTTCTGTTGTCTCTAGATGCTATATGTGCTGTAGAAATATGGAGACTACAGATCATTTGTTTTACAGCTATGATTTTACCTGGAATATATGGATTAATATTTCTGACATTATGGGATGGAATCTACAAAGGATGCATGAAGTACAAGATATAGTGATAGTGTTTAAGCAAAGATTTCAAGGGAAGGAGAACAAAATGGCTCGAATATTGTTTACTGCTGTGCTCTACTTTATTTGGAGGGAAAGAAATGAAAGAATGCACAATGGAAATTGTAGAGATGCAATGGAAATTGGTAAGTGTGTTATTTGGAAGGTTCTCAATGTTATGGGGGTATGCCTTTAGGACATCTTGTAATCTTTTTTCTTTTTCGTAGCATTATTTTCTTATATCCCTGATAGGGAAGTTTTGGACTGTGGGGGTATGCCTTCACTTTATTTCCATGTACTATATTGTTTTTTTTATATAAAATCCTTCATTTAGGAAAAAAAAAAAAGTGAGGACTTCTCCCAAAAGGTGAGAAGTGGGAAATGATTAGATGGAGGTTGTTGATTTGTAGCCTAGTTGATTTGAGCTTGTAAGTCTGTAGGAGTGTTTGAACACCTAGTGCCCTAAAGCCGTCTGGTTTGGGAGTCATTGACCTAATGCTCGACCTCATAGATCGCTAAAAAGCTTGATAGATCAACACATTGCACCATGCTTCCATCTTTGATCATATTAAAAAAAAAAAAAAAAAAAAAAAAAAAAAAAAAAAGAAGAAGAAGAAGAAGAAGAAGAAGAAGAAGAAGAATAATAAGCGTACCTAGAACAATAAAGCTTTAATAAAAGGTCCACTTTTTGTCTTGATGATCGGGACTAGACTTATATGCTAGTTTGAGGGTAAGGATGTGAATAATTCTTTAGTTGGCTAAGATAGCAACATATTTGATGCCGGCCCACTCAAAAAGGATTCTAGAGTTGTTTTGATTTTCATAATCATTTTCTTGATGTATGGAGGACCATACTTGCTTGCTTGACGTTGAAATTTTAGGAGATTGCTTGGAAAGGGTTGAAAAATTGCATACTTGAGGCAGTTTTCTCCCGAAAAATTGCATACTTGAGGCAGTTTTCTCCCAATGCTTGTTTGCAATATTGGTATCTCTTTTGAAAGAATGAGCTTAATGTTTGTGGGTATCATTTCTGGAAACCCTCACAAGACTTCACTCGTCCACCAGGGGTAACCTAGGGGTTTAAAAGGCTTGTTGCATATGCTAAATGCAATCATGTTCCCTACGAAAGTGGCGTTATCCATTTATTGCTTCTTCTTTTTTTTCTCTAGGTAAAATGGAAAATTTCTATAGATATAAACAAAATTACAAATCATCAACAAGGCATCCCTTGGAAACAAGTTGTCTACTAACAACTAGAGGATAAACACAATAAGTGTCAATTAGCTAGAGACTGAGAGCATAACTCTCCCAGCTCCATCCCAAACAACATTAGGACCTCTCCATAAATAGCTCTAGCAATTTCCATAGTAGTTCTTCGAACCTCTTGATGCAATTGCAAATTCCTCTTATTCCATATATACCAAATAGTAGTTGCACAAATACGTTTTTAGGCCTTATGTTTAATTCATTTGGTGACAAACTAATCCACTAATTGAGTTAACGTTCCACCCAAGAACATCCAACAACCATTGCCAAATTGCTTTAGCAAATGGACAATTGACAGTAAGATGATCTACATCATCGGCTGAGTTCATGTAGTTATGACAGATAGACACTAAAGGCAGCCCCCTCTTCTTTAGATTTTCAAAGGTTAAAAGCTTATTCTGTATTGCCAGACAACAGACCAGAGAAGCTCTAGGTCTCGCTCCACTCCAACAAACTGAAAACCACTGCACTTCTGGGTGTGGATTTCTCCACCTATTCCAAACATTTCCAAAAGAGAAGACACCATGTCTCCACTGAAACCTAGAAAGAGCAAAGTTCTTAAACTGGTGTAAAGTATTGGAGTTCTGATGTGGGAATTGCCACTGACCATTCTGAATAATGGAAGATAATTTTGCTTGCTTGGCCGGATCAAAGTCTCTATGGACTCTATGTCCATATTTAGTCACCAAACTTTCCCCTTGAACCCATGGATCAGTAAACAAAAAAGTAGATTGTCCATCTCCAATCTAAAAATTGACATTTTGCAACATGAATTCCCTGACGTCCAGTATCTTCTTCCATAGCATATGATCTATTTTCCCAGATTGATAATTCCAGTAGGATACAATTCGAGTATACTTCCATCTAAACCAAGCAACCCAGAGGCAGTCTTTGGATTAAAGGAAGGTCCAAACCAGTCGGCACATTGAGGTAGAATTAATGTCTGCAGTTTTCCTCACCCTAAACCCAGCTTCCTTCTTCGGTCTGGTTACCTTATTCCAACTCAAAGCATGCACTTTCTTGTGTTCAGTAGTAGAGCCCCATATAAAGTACCTCATTTTCTTCTCTAAATATTTAACAACAGCTCTTGGCAATGTGTAAACAGAACACCAAAAGTCACTACACCATATTAGGGTTTCACCAGCGCTTTTTTAAAAAGCGCTGGTGTTGAGTACAAATTACCAGCGCTTTCTTAGAAGCGCTGGTATTGAGTACTAATTACCAGCGCTTTTTTAAAGAGCGCTGGTGTTGAGTATAAATTACTAGCACTTCAAGAAAAACGCTGGTGTTGAGTACTATTAACACCAGCGTTTCTAAAAAAAGCGCTGGTGTTAAGTACTAATTACCAGCGCTTTTTAAACAAACGCTAGTAAATGCAAAATGTAGTGCGGGAAACTTTGGCGCTCTAATTTTCACTTTATTTCTAACTTTACCAATTTCATCCAAGCCCTAGTTTCTCTTCAACCTCCCCAATCGTCTCCATCTCTATTCTCGATCTCAACTCTGAACTTGCCCCCCTCTCTCTCTCTGCAACTCCCCAGTCGCCTCTATCTCTCTCTCTCTACAACTCCCCAATTGCTTCAATCTCTATTCTCGGTCTCAACTCTGAACTTGCGCCCCCCTCTCTCTCGTGATGACACGTGCCCCTCCTCCTCAACCATCCCTCTCTCTCAACAACTCTGCCTCCAATCGTAACCATATACGGACCCGAGCTGGCTCGAAACCGGTCCGAGTACATGAATGCCGGCCTATACTTGTTCTCCACCATTGTTCTTCTCTGTGGCTTCATTGATTGCTTCGTTGCTGAGAAAATCTCTGCAAATCGTTTGATTCACTTTACGTAATGGCCTCCGAGCTTGATATCAATGGCGATTTGGCATCTTCGGCTCGAATCTCCTCAAAAACCTCCCCCTACTCTCCCCTGACCAGGTTCATATATATATATAATTGAAATGGTTTGATTTTTTTAGTTTCTGCATTTGATTGGAATACATGATGTTGTGTGGTAGGTTGAGATTGCGAAGTTGCTGTTGGAGGTCGGACAGAGCTATCTGTTCTAGCATTGGCTTGAGCCTGGCGTCGATGACGATGAGAAGCTAGTTTTCTTCGATCAGGTATATGAAGGTTTCTATATTTGAATTGATGCAATGTCAATGTGAACAATTTTGCAGATCATTCTTGTTATACAATATCAATTCTTCTCTCTTTATATGATATCATAAATTATGTTGAGTTATGAATATATACATACTTTTTGGATTAAAACCGGGGATACTGGTGAAAAAATTCAGTAATTCAGTTTGAAAACAAGCATAAGAATAGAAAAGTCTGGATTTCTTCGAAGGTAAAAGCTATAATAAAGGCGCTCTTACTGTGAGTTTATGCCCTCATCATAGACTTTCTCTATTCTAAATCTGGCAATTAATACAGTTGTACTTAAAATTTTATAATGAGCCTCCATAGCTACTTTTAAGAAAAGAAATTTTAATATTACAATTAATTGAAGTTTAGGTTATACTGTTTGACTTTTATCTTCCCTTTTGAATTTGCCTCATCTTTATCTCCATGGCATAACATTTCACTTGAATTCATGTTAGAAGTATTGTTCCTATCTTTATCTCTGTGGCATAACATTTCACTTGAATTCATGTTAGAAGTATTGTTCCCATACCTTATTATTTTATTTTTAAAATTTTATGAGCTATAGCTGTTTCTTTTAGGTTGCTCAACTTAATGCAAACTATCCTGGTGGGTTGGCATCATATAACAAAACTGCCAGAGAACTCCTAGCAGATTCAAAGGCGGGGAAGATCCCATTTGATGGTTTTACACCTTCTGTAAGTTAACTTACTTTTGAAATTTGTTCTGAAATTATGTTAATATATTCTTTACGTTTGCAACTTATGGGTCTTGTACACGTTTATAATCATATTTAATTGACCCAAATTATGTTAATGTATTCTGACAACCATTACACCCTCAATTGTATAGTCAAAGTAAATTGGCAGTTGATGTGATTAGACTCAACTGATTAAATGGTAGACTGAGGTGTATCGTCTACTACTCAATATTAGATAGACTGCTAAATGATTTACGAGATTTATAGATAATATAAGTAATGCATCAATACTAAAAACCAACTGGAGAAGAAGAATCCTCATAGCTGAACTCAAGTAATGGGGATTCAGGTTTGAGCTGAGTTGCATAAGTAAAGCATCATAAATATGGAAAAGCTAAAGCATCATAAAGTGTACTTTACACTTTCTCCTTTTCTCATATAACCCAATTTTCAATTACTCATCTTAATTTTCAATTTTACAACTCAATTTTGCAAATATATAACTAATTGTAGTAGTAGTTAACAGAAGGATTTAGGTGTTAATACTCATCTTAAATTTCTAAACTTCCCATAGGAGATTG